GGGGGGGGGGGGGGGGGGGGGGGGGGAATAAAGGGGTACAACTAGTAATCAATTGAGGAAATTCCTCAGAAAATCATAAAATCGTTATCCAATAATAGTTCGTTACATTACTTCATCCATTTCCACACCTCCCCCCTCTCCTGAGCCCGACCGGCCGACGGAGGGATCGGCCGCTACTAGAGGAGGCAAAAGCGGGTTGATTTCAGATTTGACTCCGCTGCCATTCTGGCTCAATAATTCCGGCTTCTGGCTCTTTTTTATCGATGGTTCCCAAAATCAAAAGCCAAAATGCAAAACCTCAACTGAATGAACTACATGGTACAGCCGGAAAATTTATTGTGTACTCAGCAGCCCTTACCATTTCAAAAGAAAACCTTTCACTCAAACATTACTTACAGTTTGATGATTCAGAAAGTAAACAAACAAACCTTCACATGCGTATCCTTGCGTGAGCATACCCCATATTTTATCGCAACAATGATGGCAGTATGTGGGTTTGCCAAATGTTTTCTTGGCGAAGTAATGGCCATGATCGCGACCTATTCCAAGTAGGTTCGCGTCGACATTGTGGCCTTCCGCCGTCATCGAGCCGTCTCTCTGAAAATATTCATATATAACTACAAAATTACATGAAGATTTAAAATCCAGAAATTCCGAGCTGTCTCTCCCAGTCTAAGGCTGGAGCACTCTTATAAACAGGATCCTAAAGGGCGGAGTGGAAATGGGTCCGAACCACCTTCTGGTAGGTACGGATGGCGTACGTACATACTTAGTCCATCTTTCGGAATAACCTTTAATGCCCTCTACATGCCCTCCTCCAACGCCATAACCTTGGACCATAGGAAATCTTCATCTTTGCGAAAAAAGACTGGTGAGTTATTGGCAAAAATTCGGTCTCGGACGGGAGTCAAACCCGTCACTTCTGTCCCCATGGCACGGAACAGAGAGGATTGAACAGGGTGGTGAGGATGGAAGCGATAAGTAAAATAGACTGGAGCCTTCAACACCGCAGCTATATCAACAAAGGTATGTCTTACTAAATAACAAAGATTCTGTAAGCCATATCATGTCCTAAGTAACCAAATAATAATTACAAACCACCGTCCTTTCCAAATTCCCTGATTTTGTCCTGCAAGGAAATGCTATTCAACTGTAACTCTCAAGACTTACTCTCCACCTTTAATTTGTGAAACCACTTCGAACTTGCAATGGGAATAGTTTTGCTTACGCAGTGATCGACAAAAGTTACTGGAAACCAACTTATGTTGTTAGTTTCCCCATGTTTGTAGTTTTTAGTTTGTAGTTTCCCTATCTTCGAATCTTGCTCTTGATGTTGAGAGCACAAGAGGACGGGAGAAGAGGAGAACTCCTCAAGTTCGGGGTTTATTTAACCAGTATTCAACAGTAGTTGGAAGTAAATTTACTACTAGTTATATGAAGACTTCAAAGTAGGCGTGCGGAATTTCATACCTGTCTCTCCTAAAACGGAAGAACTTCTTAAGCTGGCATCACCGACCTATTTCCATCTGAAATAAAAATGTTGTAAATAATAAAAACCACATAAAAATCTATAAACAATATATTTTCAGGAAATATCGACAAACTAGCAGGTAAGAGAGTATCCAATCAATACGAAAACTAAATTTAAATGGAGATTCACAAATATTAAGTTTTGAGTGGATTACTCGAGTAAAAATGAGGAGAGAGCTTTGACAACACTGAACCAGAAAAATTTCTAGTGCACATACTTACTTTAAAATAGAAATGTGCACATCACTGGTGAAGAAGGCGAAGAGCTTGAGTACTAGTATAACCTAAAAAGCTCAAATGTACGAAAGAAGAAGAAAAGAAACCGGAAAGTTACGCGTTTTCGGACAAGTATAAACGATCTTGTAGCTATGCAGTAATGTATGGCAAACAATTATGATTACCACGTCGAACATGATAAGATTGCCCCCATATCGATGCCTTGTTCGAGTTTGGATTCTTAAACAGAGGGGAACAGGCAGAGTCTTCTCCTCTCCAGCTTTTTTTGATGGGAATTAAATCCCATCTAAATTCCCTGTAGGAGTTCAAAAGTTTTTAGGCCTACGTTTCATTTTGTATCGCTTTCGTGGATCTAGTCGCCGATCAATTTATCGATTGCGCTGCACCACTTTGAATGGACCAGGTTTTCCTTGAAATTTAGGCATGCTCGGTCATCATTTATTGTTATTTTAGCTCTTTTATAGCCATCAAATAAGATCGAGCTAATGGCATTCAAGCCATCCGCTTCTTTCGCTTCTGGGTCACTTACTTTGTCCGTTTAGTAAATACCTCTTTGTAACGTCTTATAGATCAAGGAGGCTGGCTAGAACTTAGACCTCCTTCAGCTTTTAGGGCTACTTCATAGGCCGTGAGTACGTTCAACAGTATCCACAATTCCGGAAGGTAGTTAAACATGCGGCGCGTCTCAAAAAAAGCCCTTCAATGTTAAGCAATTTTTATTACAACCCCATACAGAACGATAAAAGAAAAGTCTCCTTTGAATATAGTAGAACTGGTATACTATGAAACTATTATAGTTAATAAAGCAAGCAAAATGAAACACTCGATTCAGAGAGTAGCCATGAATGAAGTAACTCCACGGAACTTTGATTAAGGCACCCACTGTCGATAGTTTTGAAGGAATAAGGAATTGTATTGAAGATGATAAGTGTTGACGCCTTTGTAGATCGTGTTGTGAGTTAAGTAAGGCCGGTTTTCAAGTTGTTTTGCGACAACATGTGATCAGAGAACAGAATGACTCAATGATTATGCCCAACAGATCGAATAGTCGGAAAACGGAAATCGACGGCACATCCCATGGCAGAGAAATTGCCCGAAACGACCCAATAATGGACATAAAAGACTTTCAGAGTATTCAACACCATTTAAAGTTGAGTAATGGCATGATCCTCACTGGGACTCGCACTGGGAGAACAATACCAAGCTGAGAAACTGGAGGAGCACAGATTGAAGGCATTAAAAAAAANAAAAAAAATCAATCATACTGTTCTATTAATTATTATGCATATTGTGACGAAATGCATTGAAAAACTGCTCATCACCTCCGATACCCAAAAGCGAAAACTCGTACGAACGCCGCAATCGATGCAGCGCAACTCGTCCACGCAAGAATTTTCTTTGGTCCTACCTTCACCTAATGGCAAATCCACCATGGCCATTACAAAAAGCATTTTCCACAGACCATATCAAGTACTGACACTGTCACAATCAGTGCCTATTACTCTGGATAACTAGTTAGGCAAACGTTACAGAATTAGCTGCCTTAGTAGTCGCTGATTCGCTGCTCATGCACTGCCCCTGCACTCTCGCCATCTGCGCCCTGCAGGGAACAATGCGTGGGAAGAATCCGAAGGGCAATCATATTCCAATTCGGATTTTACTTATACTGGTTGGAAAGAAAAATCAAACGAACGAAAAATTTGTTCCTAGAGGATACTTCACGAGATTATCAAGGGGTTTTCATGCCAAAACTTCAAAATATGGGAGATCGAGGTTGCAGAGAAATCATGAAACAAGTAGGAACCGTGAAACCAGTCATAGCAGTAAGGAGTAAGTTCCTTGGAGGCCGACAAGCCATCCACTGTCAGATTTCGACAAAAGGTCCACGGGCAAAAAACGATTGTTAGTGGACCACCGTCATTATGGAGACGGACCGGTAACCACTGCTATCGTACTGTTCAAAATTACCTTTCAGACACGTCCAGTAGACGTAACTGGTACGTCTCTAGTAGTCTAAGGTATAGGAAAAAAGATCTAAAAAAATTTACAGGATACAAGCATTTTGAGAAAAAAATTGTAGGATCCAAGCCGCTCAGACGAAAAATACAAGGACCGGAAAAAAAANAAAAAAAGGAAATCAGAGAGTTTTCGATATGGTGTCTGTTGAGGGCAGCCCTAGACTGATGGGCTTCTGGAGCAGTACTAAGAGTTCCGTCCTGGTGGTGCTTCTGGGGTAGCTATGGCCATGTCAATGGATGGGGGTGCATACGTCGTCGGGGGCCGGCCGCTGCTCGGTCAGCAGCAGGCAGCTGCCAGCCAGTCCCGGCTCCGAAATTAGAAGATATTCATGGCGAATTGAAAAGAAATCACACGCAAGAATAAGAACTCTGTAGAAATGGCATAATGTTGCCAATGACGGAGGCTTTGGGCCTTCACAGCAGAATCAATGACGATCTACCTTCTGAGAACGAGCTCAGTGGGAGGAGATCGAACTTGCTGTGGCAACAAATATCAGTATGAACCTCTTCCAGGTGTGTCTGGCCAAATGGGGCCACTAAATAAAAACAACGATAACTATAAACATAATTGTAAGATTCTACAAGTACAGTAATGTAATCAGAGCAGGTTGGACTGTGTAGAGGTACATACCACAGTGACTACTGGGGGCAGACTCAGCACGACGTAAGTGAATGGGCTATAAACACGTTATGGGCAGTTTGTAAGGCCAATGGGATCGTTGAGGAAAGGTGGAAGCCCATCTATCTGCCCCCACTTTACATATACACGTATCTCAGAAAGGGTATGACAAAAAGAGTAGGATGAAACATAGTGTCAAGTATAACTGAAACAAGGGCCAAGGAAGGCCGGGGGGCCGGGAAGGGGGTAAGGAGATCAAGTTGTAGAGCAAAACGCAGGAATAGGCGGTATTTAGGCGCGCGTGCAGATCGATAGAGCATTGCAACACTGGCACGGAGAAAGAAAAGCGATCTGAGGGACAGTGGGCTATGGGGAGAGGAGGGAGCGGGAGGCACAACGAAAACTTCCCTTTGACGTGTGGGCAGCAAGAGACGCAGAGCCCACGTCTCCCGTCGTCCCTCGGTCGTCGTCGTCGTCGCCGTCGTCGTCTGATGAAAACCTGGCGGCTTCGACGACGACGATTTTCGATGATGTCCCCCAACAGCGCTGGTAGTGCGGGCGAGGATTTTGGCTCCCTTCGGTAGCCCCACACAGTAAAATGTGACAGTTGACCTGTACTGAGACCTGTTGTGTGTTCTACGGCAGAATCGGCACATTCAACATGCATTTGATTTGAATAAAATACGATTTTATTGATGTGGTGCGGGGTGAACCGCCAGGGGTGCAGAAAAGTTCTTTGGTGTCAATGCTGCACCGCAACAAAGCCTCTCAAAACAAAACACCCTTAAGTACTTCCAAAAGACAAGAATTGGACATTTTAAGGAAAACAGTGCAAGAGCGATGTCCACCGAGGTTGGGAAGGGCTCCGACGTGTGCACGTTACATGTGGGGACGTCGTCGAAGCCATTCAACAACGCCTCACCGAGTCCTTTACACGAGATGACGTCATGGGCGAGAAACACACATGCGGACGACGTACTAGTAGGTTGAGGGGAACGTTTCACATTCATGCTGGCACCACGACGAGCTGCCTGCCATCCAGCCAGCCAGTCAGCCAGCCAGCCGACCGACCGGCTAGCCAGCCAGCCAGCCAGCCAGCCAGCCAGCCACCCAGTCGAGCGGGCACCCAGGCAGGCTATGTCTAGGCTGTCGTCCATCGCCGGCGTCTCTTCGGCATCACGTCGTCTTTTCCATGTGCTGCACGTCGGCGACCGTGGTGCTCGCTGCTGCTGGCAGCGCCGTTACAAATTGATTGCCTCCACATAATTCCGCGACAACAAGCACGATATATTACACGAATTCCGAAGCGGAAGTATTTGGGAGATGTGTGATGTGATGTATCGTCACATCATCCCCAAAATCTCATGCTATTCTGATTTAATTGCCCTCAACCCGAACACAGCACGTCCTAGAGATGATAAAATTAACATATTAAATTTTTTCGCAAATAAAAAAAAANCAGTTCAAGGCAGCCATTGCAGCCATTGAGTTACACACCTTGCGTGGGCACTTACTCCACTCCAGTTTCATTTTTTTCTTTTTTTTCTAAGGATGACAGGCCAGCTTGACCAGCAATAATCGACCTGGAAAAGATGGACACATGGTTCCAAGGTCGTGGGTGGAGTATGAGCGCCATTTGCCACTGCCTCACCTCCACTTACATTGTAATATCTACAACATTACTGTTTCCAGGACATTATTGGCCCTCACAGAATGACTCAGCATCAAGACTACCGAGTGATAAAACTACTTATATACTTCACAGTAATGGGTTGACTGTACCGGTTTACCACTTTGGAGACCAATTCCCTCACAGTCTATTCAGTAGAGGAACAACAATGTCGACTTTGTACTGAACCAGCATTAGGTACTCAAGACGGAGAACGGTCGAAAGACGAGGCTCCCACTTCTCCCCTTTCCCCTGCTCCTCATCCTCCTTCTTATTCATCGTATAAAACCCCTTCTAACGGGCACTGAAGTAGCAGGATCAAAAGCCATGTGGTTTTTGGGCAATAAATATATTTGCACAAAAAATCCAACTTCACTGGCAGCTTCAGCAAAAATATAGGATGAAGTATAATGTGATTGCAACCAATTAATGCTGTAGAATGGATGCGCCATGCAATCGCCTTTATTCCGGTCGCAGAAACATTTGGAAGCGCACTTCATAATCATGCAACAAGGTTTTTCATACGACTTATTCAATGATTGGCTCAAGCTACAGTCTCCTTCAATCTCGTAAGTAGCTCAACCGAAAAAAGTAACATGAGGAAAAGAGCTGCTGAAAATTTACTAAACAAGCGAAAGTAAAAAGGGAGAATTAGCGTGGCAGTAAGAGGCTATAAAAGAGGGGCTTTATACAAAGCCAATTCTGTTAGTGAGAGTTTAAACAGCTGGCGTATACCTCCTGCATAGGCATCAACAATAATTCAAAAAAGGAAAATCATCAAAAACTGAACGATAAGGAGGTCGGGAATTTCAGAGTTTTAAAGATTTGTGGAAGATTTCTTTCAAAAAAAAAAAGAATAAAATAGTTTAAATTCCAGGAAAATCTCATTCTGAGAAAGTACTGGATGAGAAGACAACAGTGAAGCGGCATGAACTGGTGCGGCTGAAAGACACTCACTCATGAAGATGCGCCATGCACAAGATCCCTGACGCAAGTGAAAGCCCTCCTGTTGGGAAGGTCGGACTAGCAGGGGCTCTCCTTTTAAGTTGACCAGTCTGAAGTCCGAAAATTGGAAGACTTGCTTAACTAGGAAGTGTTAGACCCACGTCTCATCAAGAGACTTTTCTTCTGATTATAGGGGGCTCGTTACCAGTAGTTATCAGTTCTAGCGATTTCGTGACAGATTCTCATTACATTTGTGAGTCCAGCGGGCGTTCTGGATGAGCTAGCTGTCGCAAATGGTAGCTACAACTCTATAACTTACTTTGTTGTAACTATTTTGTGAGAGTAGAAATAGGTACCAGGATGCCCATAACGCCCACTTATTCCCTCCCTTCCCTTATTGGCCAGTTTTTCCTCATTGACAGTTGTCCCAAAAGCCAAACAGGCTATCGATTGGTTCGAAACATCTGTCCAGGTAACTGGCCAACTAGATATTTTCACCCACTGTGACCACATTCTTAGGGCTTGTAGAAGGCCCGGATCTATAACACATTTGTGACAGTTTCGCCTGAACAGTAAATCCGTCCCACGTATTGCGGTCGACCAATTACGGTATTATCCGTCGATGCGCACCTTGCGGATACGGCGGATTGAAGACGTAGAATTCAAACCGACTTTCTCAAAATCTCGTCGCTCTGACCAGAGCTCTGTCCACTCACTGACCACAGGATTTCCATTCTTCTTTCGAGTAAGTTCATTTCATGCCACATAAGGAAAAGGTCATCTTTCCTGTTTCTTCTCCTGCTTGTTCTTCGACAGCTTCCTGTTTCACCAAGTAACTCGATCTGAACAGCTTTTCCCAACCTCTTTTGGACGCATTCTACTTCCACTCAGTGTAAATGTAACATACCAGCACAACGTTTTACGGTAGTCAGCAGATATATTATTTACAGATAAATATTTTAGAATTTCTCAAACCGCTTCTCAAACAAGACCGATCAACCCACTCTATAGGAATGAGTAGACGGTCTTACTTACGGGATACACACTTTTACTTGATTTTTAAGCCACAACCGCAGTAAGGGCCTTTCTAGTGATCCCTTTGTTCCATACAAGTATTTATAAATCTTTGTATTTCTATTATAGCGGCTGATAAATCGGGACAATAGCTTCTGGTACAAACTTTGCTAGTTGTCCTGCAGGGTCGAAACCCTGCAGGACAACTTTGCATTCTACTGGTCCGCCTTCGGAAGAGCCATCTCGTCCTGTTTGAGCTGGAGGTATCCCATCATCCGGCTTGATCGGAAAGTTCAAAAACGCCTTGGAATGTTTCCAAATTCAAATAAAAAAGTAGGATTCACCAACATCGCCCTTCTCTCATAACTTAAATGAAGTTTTGGCGTGAAAGTCATCAGTCGCAATACAGTTCAATACGTGCTAGCTCAGCAAGAAGAAGTATTTGCTGGTATGGTATATTGGGGCAGAGTAAACCTGTCCCCCTGTAAAATGCAGTCACGATCTGAGATCCCTTTCAAGAGGGTAATTAGCAGGCCCTTTTTCAGTTAGTGGGGCATGTCACGCACTACCACTTCCTTCCACCATGAAACTGAGTGTACCATTCGCAAACTTGGAAAAAAAAACTTCCAAATAGACTGACATCACCCCGCCCTCCTCAAGAAATCTTGCCCTTTTTTTATCTGCGCCATAAGGAATGCCTTGATAAGTAAGTTTATCGATTAACTCAAATAACATTACTGCTCAGAACGGAACTTTATAAGGGCTGATCATTGAATGAAGTGTTACTGGTAAATCAAAGTTCATGGCAATTATGAGGAATGATAGAAAGTTTTCAGCGAGAACAGTAGTACTACTCTTTACTTCTTATCTTCCACTTTACCCGTACTAACAATCTGCTAGAATTAGTAAGGGGCTTCCCAGCATGGGCCCAAAAAATAGTTTATAAGAAGCTTCCCTATTTGGTCGAAGCATTAAGCTTAGACAGGGAGGAGCTGGGAAAGTGGAGGATGACCTGAATCCGCTTGCACGGTTGGTGGTTCGACCCCGACGACTGGTAACTCTACCAGAAATAGACGCGCTTATTGGGATGTCAAGTTGCAACACTATTGTGCAAACAAGATTCCATACCATCCACAAAAACCAGTGACAATCATAAGTAAATTATATTACCGAACAAGTAAAATATATAAATAGTAAAGTTTAGCCAAGCGATAATCACAATTGAAGTTCCTCAAGGATGCCACAATGGGGCGAATTGCTCAGCTTCGGTCGGGTCATGAATCAGTAATTGTGATTCTCGGTCATTATTAGCATACGACGGGGGTGGCGTAGTATCTAGTGGCGCATTATTACTGACTCCTGGTCCAGAGATCGAATCCCGTACCGTTATCCGCCTAGGCCAACTAAGTCTTCCGTTCCTGGGGGGTGGAGTGGGGCAGGGCGCATCCCCAAAATGGGCTTGATTGAAACTAAAAGTCGAATTCCTATCTCCATTGTTACTAAAATAATCCTTAAAAAATGATAGCAATAAATGTGGTCAATATGAGCAAAGCATCTAAAAATAATCCGAACGAATGAGGAAAATGAGTGGCGCATTCTAGAAAAGGCAGGATCTTTTCTTATTTATTATTCTTATTTATTAAAGATAAGCTGTTTGCTTGGCATCTTGGTAGAACGGAACCGTAGGTGAAATTTCTTGATTTTTAGTTTTTAGTTTTCTAAAAAAAGGTCTATTTGCATCTTGTCGCTATTTGTAACACCCACTCGTTAGAGTTTATGTTGTTTCTTCTTGTTCTGTGATGTTTTCAAGTCGTTTTACTAATTTTAAAACATCTTCCTAGCTATTTAGCCATAATTGTTCTGGCTTTCAACATTAGTTTGTCAATTAGGTACGTAAAAGTGCATGCTAAGTGACATCTAATCAGCAGTTGCGCTGAAGTCTAAAGCATCGAAACAAATTTGAAGTGAAGGGTCGTAATGGCCGGACCTCGAACTACTGCTGGCAATGATTTACGACAGAAAATTGTTTTTAATTTCAAGCACTTGCAATGAACCTATGCATCATATAAAGGGCACAACAGTGAAAAAACTGAGAAAGGGACTTATGTGGTCCGATTTTCTCGAGAAAAGAGGGTCTGGAAAATCACTTCGGACATAGCTGGCCATACTGTTATCAAACCAGTATTCACCATGAACAGCCAAACGTTTCCTTTTATCCTTCCAGACTTGGCATACGCGCTGAACGCAATCGAATTTAGCGACTTGCTTTGGCGAATTCAGACGCCCTCTCATTGGTCAGCTTAACAAGATCACATAGTGCACCAATAAGGGGCGCGCCAGGGGTGTGGTGCGTTAGGAACGAAATGGTCGCGTCGCGGTAAGAGGGGCGTCGCGCGCGAAGGAATGTAGCAGGATGCAGCAGTAGGTAAGAAATACAAGAACAAAAGTACTAATAGTAGAATGATGCATAAAATAATGATGAAGAACGCTAGAGCTGTAA